CCCACTTCGGTGGTGATGGGTCGGTGGACCGGAGGAAGCTCCACAAGCCCCATGTGCGGTTCTCGCTCAACCGCCTTTGATCTCTCGCTCCATGGCGGCTCGCCAGCAGATCGCTTTCACCTCCGCGAAGTTGGCTGGCTCGCCGACGTGCGTGAGGTGAAGCTCGGCGAAGAGACGTGAAGTCGGCGGCGGTGTGGGCGCGTCCCCGATGATGTTGGGCATGGAACGGTACCGCAGCTGCTCGCCACCATAGAAAGCGTCAAGGCGATCTCGTCGTCCTCGAGCGGTGACGCGAACTCAACTAGGTCCGCCTGCTCGGTCTCCGCTGCTGGTGAAGCAGAGGAGGCCGGTGGATCGTGCTCCCCTGGAGCTAGTGACGGCGTGCGCGACAGAGCTCCGTCTGCGTCGACTCCCCAGAACTCGATGTCGAAGTCGCTGGAGGCGGAAGCAGACGTCGCGACGGCCGAATTGGACCAATCCCAGCCGCGCCCTTCATCAAACACCACGTCGCGGCTCACCTTGACGCGTCCTGTCGCCGGATCGAGGACCCGGTAGGCCTTGGCGCCTTCGGCGTAGCCGATGAAGACCCCAGCTTTGCCGCGGTCGTCGAGCTTGCGCAGCTGCCCGAGCTCCCTTGTGTAGGCGACGCAGCCGAATGTACGCAGATAGTTCACCGCCGACGCTCGTCCGTGCCAGGCCTCATAGGGGGTCTTGCCTTGCAAGCTTCTTGTCGGTGCTGTTGTTGAGCGATGATGCACCGCCGTCATCACCGCCTTTCCCTGAATTTGGCTTAAGATGGACCTTCGCTTCAGAGAGCTGCGCGCGTCGCCACGACCGTCTCGATTACGCCGCTCCACCACACCGCTCGCTGCGGTGAGTGTGGTGCGAGTAGTGCCGCTTGACTCCTTCGGCGGCGGCATTTCGCCCGCGCCGATGGTGAACTCCTCCATTGTCGGGTCCGCAGCACCTTGAGCTCACCACCGGTCTCCTTCTCTCGCTTCGCCTTCACCCGCTTCACGCAAGATCCGCAAAGAACATCCTTGGTCGGTAGAAGCACCGCCCACATGAAGCGGGTGGCGCCGCCCACCATCGCAGAAGAAGTAGTGGCGCCCTAGCTAAGCGCCGGCCGGCGTTATGCGCCCGCACAAGTCGCCGTGGACGAGGTCCAGGCGGGCATGCTGATCGCTACCGCCGCGGAACGGCTTGGCGGCGGAGCTTGGTGGTGACGCAGTGTCGCAGACTTGTTCGCATGCTTGATCACCGGCATCCCCTCACCATCTCCTCGCTTGCCGAGCTGGTGCAACGCCCGGCCGAGATGCCCGAAGCGCCATGCCACCTCCATGACTCGCCCTCCTTTCGGCGGCAAGACACACACCGGCCGCGGCCTCAAGTGCGAGGATGTATAGCCGATCGGGCCCGCGATGTACCTTGGCGAGAAGACGACCACGCCGGTCCCAGATACGGAGCACTCCATGATCAATCTCCACCTTGGAGCCTCCTTCGTCGAGCTGCCCCAAACTCATAATCGAGTTCCGAAGTGCTGGGATGTAGAAGACGCCATGGAGGACGCGCTGCTCCCCGTTCTTGGCCTGGAAGACGATGGAGCCGGTCCCCTTGATCTCCACTCGAGACGAGTCGCCGAAACGCACCGTGCCGCGCGCCGTGGTGTCGAGCTCGGCGAAGAGCTCCCGGCGGCCGGTCATGTGATGCGTGGCCCCGCTGTCGAGGTACCAGCCATCGAGCACCTCCTCGTTGGCGCTGGTGTTGAGGAAGACACGCGCGCGCGGCTCGTTGATGTCGAGGGAAGCCGTGGCCTTGGAGCAGATGGCTTCGGCCTTCTCATCCAGCTCGAGGAAGCCGTGGGCAAGGAACAGAGCACCATCATCGTCCTCTGCTTTTGCGACGTGCGCAGCACCGCCACGCCCACCACCGCGCCATCCACCTCGATCACCTCCAACGCGGTTGACTCCTCCGCGGTCACCACCACCGCGATTGCCTCCTCCGCCTTGGTTGCCACCGCCGCCGCCGCGGTCACCACCACCACGGCGCGGCTGGCGGCAGTCGCGCGCCTAGTGGCCGCGATCACCACAGTTGAGGCAGGTGTCGTCGTCCGCCCCGCGATCGTCGCCACCGCCTCTATCTCCTCCACCGCTGACCTTCCTTCCGGCGCCGCTTGCCGCCCGCGTGGACGACGTCGTGGCTCCTTGCCTGCTGCGGAAGCGGCAGCCTCCTCCTTCTCCTTGGCACGCCATCGCTCCCTTTGTCGTCAGCACCGCCGCCGATGGCGGCGGTTCCGCGCCGCCGCTCCATGTCGCCCACCGTCTTTCAAACGCCCGACACCTCCTCGATGGTGAGGTCTCGAAGTCGAGAAGCGCCTCGATGGCGATCCGGAGCCGGGCGATTGGGCGGCGCGGCGCAAGGCAGGAGCTCTCCACGCGCGCGCTTCTTTCATCGATGTCGTTGTCGCTGTGGAGAAGAAGCTACTGCTTCCGGGCCATCAAGCGAAGAGTGAAGTCCTCGATCTGCTCACCCGGACGGAAGGCGAGCTTCTCCCAGTCGCTGCGGAGTCGCTGGAGCGTGGCACGGCGCACTCGATCGACGCCGATCCGTGCGGCGGCGATGGAGTCCTAGGCCTCCTTGGCTCATCCCTTCTCGGACAGCGGCATCTGCATCTCCTGCGGCACGGCGGCGATGATCGCCTCCACCATGCGCCTGTCCTCATGGTACGGCAGGTCCTGGTACTTGATCGCGTCCCAAAGTTGTCGCGCTTGGAGCTTCAGCTTCATGATCGAGGCCCACTCATGGTAGTTTGACTTGGTGAGCATCGGCCAGGTGGAGCTTGAGCCAGAATCCTTGTATACGGTCTGGATCACCGGCGAGCGGCCCCTGGCCCGTCCGCGGTGGCGATCCTGATCCCGATTGGGCGACCTCTGCCTGCGCTCGCGCTCCGGGCTCCTCCGTGGACGCGGGCGGCGATCGCACGGTGGATCCTCCTCCACCAACTCTCGACGCAGAGCCGCGGCCGTGGTGGCCACGTTCCGAGCTGCTGCTGCTGCGGCCTCCGCGGCCTGCTGCGCTTGCGTGGCTGCGGCCTCTGCCGCGGCCAGACGCTGCGCACGCTGCTCGGCGGCGGTGGCGGCTGCTGCTGCTCGCTCTGCGGAGGTGGCCATGCCTCTCCCTTTCTCTCTCAACCCCGAGCTCTGATGCCAATTGTTGGCGATCCAGATCATAGATAATTAGGAGGATAACTTGGCCTGTGGCCTTCTATTGAATTGCAAAACAAAGCAGTTGAATTGTACAAGTGGTTCCCCCCCATGTGCTCTTATAGGCCAGGGGTTTATCCCAGGGAATATTCTAACTACCTAATGGTAGATGCTTTAGGAAACTTGGCTGCCAAGGTGTTTATCAACTTCACCACCAAGGCAAGCCCTATCAACCACATTAGGACTGAAATGTAAATGCTAGAAAACATGAACACTAGGCTAACTACTGACAATTAGAGGACCCTTTCTAGCCTCCATACTGATCCTCACAAGCCTTATTTAGCAATGATACCCATTAGCAGTGAAGGACATGGGGTGGGTTTCCTCTGGCACTACTCCTATGCATGAGCACCTTTGAGCTAGCAGAGGATGAGAAGGAAGAAGGTAATAACTCAATAAGGGACGATGTTGTATGCAAAAGAAATGAGACCCCCTATGACTAAGCTCTGCGTCTGCCACTGCTATTTGATTTCATCATGTTTTTTTCTTAAAACTATACCTACCTATGTCATTGTGAGAAATAATCTAAAGTGGCCCCTAACCTCCACCTAAACTACGAAACTATGCCATTAAAAATTACCCAACTCTGCCATTATGAAAAGTGCAAAGTAAACCTAATCCATATCTAAATGACCCACCGTTACCATTCAAAAATAATATAAAGTACCCCTAATGTTCATCTCTAACATATACAATTATGAAAATAATCTATAGTAGTCTTCTAAGTTCTCGTATAAGTCGCTGGCTTCCACCATTAGTAAAAATAAATTGAAGACATATGTAATCTAAATGCCTGCCTCATCATTATAAAGAAAATGTCCCCAAGGAATTGTTTTTCTACTTACCATCTTTGGCCATTATTAATATAGAAAAAAACTAACTCAATACATACATGTATGATCTGTGTCACACCATACTGACCATGTATACTTGTATGTATGAAGCAATGGATGTAACGTAAAGTTTGAACTAAACATATGTCAAACACGCATGGGTGGTGATAGAAAGGTGAAAAACTATGCATGGGCATAGGAAAGCATATATTTAGTTGGTACTAAACTCTATTACAACCAGACAAAGATGAGTAAATATTAAAATAAGAACAAATGTAAAAAAAAACAAAGATATGCAGTTTTAGTTAGCTATGTGCATCACATTTATCCTTGTCACTTAGGATTACTTGCCCGTGCAGGAGCACGTTTTGATGGACTAGAACAATCAGATGTGCATAGCACCTAGCACAGGAGATCGTGTACTCTAATGGAGAAAGATTGGTTCCTACAACTGGTCAAAACGTTAGGCACATCGACAGATCGACTCCATGAGACCTGGAATTAACATGACCCAATAATACGAGACTGAGAGACAACATCTACACAACATCACCCAAGAAATCAGGGGAAAACAAGCACAAAAATGAAAATAAGATAATTGAATTACGATGTCAATGCACAGGTTCATTATATACCACAGGTGCATATAACATTTGCCGTACAGAGTAAACAAATTCGAGTCAATTTAGCATTTTAGCTATATATGTTCACTCAATTGTCTCCATGTAGATTTTGACATCGAAGAAACAACAATTATCTTTACTGTGCCATGGACGCAAATATTTTAGTTCAAAATGCCTAGAGTGTAGGAAAAGGAAGAGGGAAGGTATAAATGAAAAGCACCAGTCATTTAGCCCTGTGCTCTGGTGCCAGAATCAGCAAACAGACAGATTGTCAGTATGCATCAGGACGAACATGGTTCCTCCAGTTTCAAAGCAGGTGTCTTAGGATGCTGGTTAAGTTGATTCTCCATGTCCAACTTAACTGTGTTGTCAAGGGAACCAAAATACCACACCTCCTTGAGTTTTCCTTTAGAGAGACTCTTCAGGTCAGCAAACTTCACTGCCGACCCAGTACAGCATTTAGCTGTCAGCAGCTCAAGATTTTGCATTGCTAATGATCCAAAGGATACATTTAACTCTGAGTTGCAAGCAATTTCAAGTATCTTGAGGTTCAAATAACTGCTCTGCTCTACTCCATTCACCTCGACAAAAAAGTTAAGCTTATTACCATCTCCATCTTTAAGCGGCTTGACATAAAAACGTAGAATACATAGTTCTTTTATGTCCCCAAGAACTTTGATTACTTCAACTTCTTCTGACGTAGTTATCTCCAGTTCCAACTTTGTTAGTTTGGGAAGATCTCTGATCCATGCTGGCACTTCTTTTACAAGGCCATATAGCTTAAGGCTCTGAAGATTTTCCGGAGGCTTCTTCTGAGGCGAGAACATGTCATTCAAACAAGGTTTGTTATTGCCCATGATGAGCCACACTGACAAGGATTCCAAATGAACGTGGTCTGAGATGACGGAACAGAACTCCTTGCTATTTTTCTTGTTGATGCCTGTCACTTCAAGCTTGTGCAATTGTGTGAGCTTCTTGAGCTCTTTCAGGATGGCCTTGCCCCCTGAAAAACCAACGTTGACAGCACCAAGAGTGTGCAAGGCTGTAAGTTTCTTAATCCCTGCAGGCACTTCAACACCACCTACATGACAAGATCTACAGCAGCTAGGCAACCAAGAGAAATGAGCACATGGTACTGATGGTTCCTTAGCTATGCCAGCACGGATGTACTGCAGCTTGGTAAGCTTGGTGATGGATGGTGGCAAAGTGACTATGGAGGTGCCCCTGACATCCAGAGTTTCAAGCTGCCTCAGACCAGCAAATGAACGTGGCAGATAGCAGATCTCTCTTATTCCTCTCAGAGAGAGGAACTTGAGGCGAGGAAGCACCTTCAGCATCTGCTCCAGGCATTTATATGTGACACCCATTGCATTTTCAAGATCAAGCACCCGGAGCACCCTCATAGTTTCACTGATGAAGAAGGGCTTCCACTGTCCAAACACAGTGAGGGAGCGTAGCCTTGAGAAGTCAATACTACTGAACACGATCTTGTCTCTGTCCCAGCTTTGCTTTATGACAAGGTGTCGTCCTGTGCGTTGACTGGTCAATGTGCACCTGCCCTCCAGTTCGAAGACAAGGTCCTCATCCTTTCGCCTTGATATGATGTACTCACGGAAGAAGCCGTTGACTTGGCACAAGACCATTCTTGTATCTGCAGTGGTGACTGAATGTGGTGTCTGCTGGATGATACTCAGATCAAGGAGCTTCGAGAAGAATTTTTCCCCATTATCCTCAGCTGACCTGTTGGACGTGTCCCTCGAGTAACCCTCTGCGATCCACCGCCTCACTAGATGCCTCCGTCGAATGCTTGGGCCTTGCGGAAAAATGGACAGGTAGAGGATACATGGCTTGAGGTAATCTGGGCAAGTACAGAAGTAGTTGTGCATCCAACCAAATAATCCACGCAAGTTATCAAATTCCAGTTTAGTCTCCAGATCATGCATAAATCTGTCACTAAGATTCATTGCGGTTTTCATCCAGCTGACTGTCATGGGTGCCAAAAAGTTGGCTACAGCAACTATTACTTTGGGAAGTCCGCCACACTTGGAAATAAGTTTTAGAAGCTCGGGATCTTCAGAATCCCTTAAAGCGGACGAATCTGGAAATATGCCTACCTATATTATTGAAAAGAAGCTAAATTAGTAATAATTATTGTATCAATCAATCACACTTTAGATTTAGTTTTAGTTTGTGCTGTTAGCATGCATAAACTTATGTTTTGAAAAGTTGGAAAAATTACATGTGCATCAGGCTCTGTTTGTTTATCTTACAAATTGTGGGGTGCGCTTGTTGTTTGAATTTAACTTTTTACTTAGAAAAAAGATACAATTTTTGTTGAAATATTATGACATATCTATATTGCCAGTATGCTTGTAATATGGTCTATTGTTTATGATATCAATACTACTAAACATATAATTCTTTAATAGAAATTTTTTTGTATTCCTGGTCCTAGGAAAGAGTTGTTCTGAACTTTTATGATACCATTTGGATGAGTTTTGTTAGGCATACTATAGAAGACTTGGATAAGATGATTCTGTGTCTTTTAAGATGGGATGAGCATAGCAACTGAAAAAAAGCTTGGATAAAACTACTTTGATGCAAAAAAAATATTCACACCGTTTTTCTTCTTTTGCAAAACATAGTTTAATCACCTAGAGGGGGGAAAAGATAAATCATAGACTAATTGTTGCATTTGAGCATCAAGATGTATCTGAGAAATTAGATTTAATGAGACCAAGAGAATAGGCAAGTATCTTGCAAGAAAACACACCTCCTTTTTGAAGAGATCACGTGCTTCATCGTCTTCTAGACTTTTGACATTGTACATGGCCTCTTCTCGATTTGCACAATGTATGGCTATGCTTGCTTCCGTTGTAATCACAACGATAATGCTTCTAGAATGTATAGACACCAAGTAATGTTGTATTAGGTCCCACTCGTCTGTGGATTGCAAACCATCTATTACGACAAGGCAGCGATGTTTCTCCAGAAGCTCATGAAACTCTTGAATGGGATTGCTGATTCCATTTTGCTGAGGAGAATCTGACTGAAGTTCTGAAAGTAAGCTCCAAGCCAAGTTCCTTAAATTGAATGGATGTGATACATCCACCCAACTGTACATGGTAAATATTTTGTTGCTACTGTCACACATTATGTCGTGGTATAAGTTCCTGACTAGAGCTGATTTCCAAACACCAGCTATCCCCCACACGGATATCACAGGAAAACCATTAACACATGCCCTGGCTAAATAGCCACGGAGATCTTTCATCTGTGAATTGCGTACTTTAACTAGGGGGAATCGACCAATCCACATATCAGTGTTGTTTTGGACACCCATTGATGATGATGCCTCATTATTGTTAGCCATCACCATAGTGGTTTGCTTGCTTTTATCTCCGTCGCCTTGAGAACCCTGAAAATATAGAAAATTTAAGAAGGGTGGTCAAGGAGACCTCAAGAGAAGGGGACATGTGCACTTGGAAGGAGGAATTAATGTAACATGCAACAAACATTGGAGGGATGGCACAGTTTCTGAATCCTGTGCCAAGTGTTACATTATGAGTTGGGATTTGCTGATTTGACTGAACAAATATAAGAATTTATTCCACCTACTTTCTCCTAAACCCATTTTTTCTGGAAAGTTATTCAATTGTGTTTCAGCTGCTTACCTCCCTGAAGAAGACACATACAGAGTGTTCGGCTGAGGACTGCTTAAGCTCAAACACTTGCCATGGATCTCCAACACACAGCCTGGCGACTTCAGATTGCTGAGTAGAGATGATGACCCAGCTGTGATTTTTCTTTTCAGGCAGGTAAGCTCTGACGGTGTCCCACTCTACCATACTGGAAACGTTTTCCAGGATAACCAGGTACCTCTCCTTCATTTGCTCCATGAACTCTTCAATAAGTTCGCCTTCTGCAGCCACTTCCAATCTCTTGAGGGTACCAATGTCTACACCCGATTTCTTTTGTAGGCAAGAGTTTGTGTGGAACTGAATCAGCAAGCTCCGCTGGAACTCATGGGGGTTGAAAGGGTGCGTCAGCTTTGCCCAGCCACGGCATCTGAAGCTGTCACATATTTCTGGTTTGCCATAAGCCTCCCTGATTATGGGTGTGGTATCAGCATTGCCACCTGCTGCCCACACTGAGATCACTCCAAGGTCTCCACCAGGTTTCTTGGTGATCAACAACTTGGTCAGATCTCCTAATCCTCGTTGCATCTTTGTGGTATCTCTTGCTTTGACGAGCATGTCAAATGTTGTGGCACCGACAGAAGCACCAGGCACAAACTGTTGTTGCGTGACGGGCTTGGAACCTGAATCACTGATGAGGTTGTAGCGCATGTTCCTAAGGCTCACCTCCTCAACCCTGCCCTTGAGCAACTTTATCTCGGCGACCGCCTTGTCCAGCGGCAGCTCTGGCCTGATGAAGCCTGGGAGGCAGCGGCAGTGCCAGTCTGATGCCTTGTCAAGGCGGATCACATACTCGATGCAGTCCTCCACGTTGTAGGCGAGGTCACGGACCTGTCTCACCCAGGTCCTCACCACGTTGTTCCTGGCGCGCTCCTCATCTGCGACATTGAGGAAGGACTGCATCATCTGGAACTCACCGGTGATGAACGCCAGGTCGTTCTGCGTGCTCTGCCGCAGCGTTGCCTCCTCCTCAATCGCCGCCAGGGCCTTGGTCACAGTCCCCTCCACCACCGACTTGGCCAAGCTTACTGCCAGGTCTGCCATTGCTTCCCCTGTCTCTCCTAGATACTCCAGTGTATTTGTCTCGGTGGTAGCAGCTAGTGATTAGTGATGCTAATGCTCGGAGGAATTGTGCAGCCTCCGCGCACCTAGAGATGGGAACATGGGGATATCAGCTAGGCATGAACATAGTCAACTGGGAGTTTGGGACATTGCAAAGCAAGTCTTGCCTGGCCAGATCCGTGAGCTGAGTTGGATCTCTGATATATCAACTTAGCCGTTGACTAGCAAAACACAGTCGCCCCCCTTGAGCCCTTCAACTTTTAGTTTCACATACTTCAACATATGTGCAGTGGTGTTTCTGCAACTATGTCATACCTTAATGATGTGGATCTGTAACCTGTTTGGAAAAAGAGAATATTTCTTGTCAAGTGAAGACAGATTGATCGGTACTATTTGTTATGTTATGTGTGCATCATGGAAAAGAACATTTTCATATAATAATAATTAAAAGAGCACCACTTGTCATACTCTACTGGTTCTAAAAGTTTATATTATTTTACTTTTATCTTAAATAAAAATATTCTTTGACCAAAGCCTACGAAAAAATAGTCTTATCATTTGTGCGCTATTAAAAAATGATGATTTTTGTATGCAGGCTGCACTCTTATATATTGCTACCATGGCATAAACTCACTATGTTCCAAATTATAACATATTTTGACTTTTTCTAAATACAATGCTTAGTATATATCTAAGTGTACGACCAAAGTTATATATATAGAAAAGTCAAATCGTCTTTTTTTTAGAATTACATAGTACAACGTAGACGCTCAACACGCACGCACACTCATCCCTATGAACGCACACACGTAAACCCTACCTCTATGAGTACCTCCGAAGGACTGAGCCGGTAGATCTCGAGATTTACGAAGTCACCACAAGTACCTTGCTGTCGATGGAGACGTCGCCTACAATTGAAAGCATAGCGCCGTTAAATCCTGAAATAAATCCCGAAAAATACGAACATCTGTGCCAAGTCGAGGACTGGAACCTGGGTGGGCAGGTTCCACCACAAGGAACCCAACCACCTGATCTATGATCAGTTCGCAAAACGTCTTATAATTTAGAACGGAGGGAGTACATAATTGTACTGTGGTCAGCTAAGCCCAATAGCTTTTCTTATTCCCACTAGAATTTCCTCATTTTCCCTCAAAAAAACAACTAGAATCTCCTCATTAACATTTATAAACCTCTTTTTATAATCAATAAAATAGCTCTGTTCGTTTCGCTGAAAAAATAAGACAAAACACTGTTCCGGTTGATTTGTTGTGAGAGAGAAACACTGTTCCAGCTAAAAAAACAAGCTGAAAAAAACGGATTATAAGAGAAACGAACAGGGCTAAAATTCTAGCTTCCCCCTTCGTTTAAGTATACACTACGGTGCTCAAGATCGACGGTGCAGTTTAGTGTGAGATCTATGAGAAACCAAGAGTGCTAACCTCAATAGAATATACATTTAAGCATATTGATAACTATTTATTGTAAAAAGAATATTAAAAAACAAGGAGATCATAGCCAATTTTGGTCTACATTGGAGGCTTCTTTAAAATGGCTCTGGCTTCTCTATAGAAGCAGTTTCTCCGGTAGAGCTAAAGCATTTTAGAAAAGCATTTGGTAAAATGGGTTCTAGTTTTCTAGTAGAATATAAACATATGAAATGTCCATAATGACCCTCTGTAATTGATTGACTACCTGATATCTCAAACAAAGTGAAATTATTCAACCTAATGCTGCTGATGTAGCCCCTCCCCTTGTTGAATTCAACTTTTTTTAGCCATATAATATAAGCGTAAATTACACTAGTGATCCCTATATGTACTATTACGTCATCATCCAGGTCCTTGAAGTGTGAAATTGCATATCTAAAGCCTAGACAACTTTTTTTTCCTGTTTGGGCTTTACAAGCCTTGTAAATTGTAAATATTCCCTTTCGTATATATAAAAATTAAGTACGGGTCTCCCCTGCCGACCCTTAAAAAAGGTCGCTACACTGCGGTCCAAAGTAGCCACATCACAGGTTATTAGCTGCTGTGGCGTTTCAACGTGAAATCAAATCAACATATGGATCCGTAGCTTATAGTTACATGGACGGTCTCTAAACTATCACAATATTCTCTCCCAAATACCAAAATTATGGAACTACATATTTAGGTCCCTAATATATTAAACTACTCTAATCCCGGTCCAAAACTCTGTTTTTTTTTCAAATCTCAATTGTAGAGATGAGCGTTGACCACATGTGTAAATCTGGACCTTTTTTTTTTTGCAACTTGATGTAAATCTGGATCTATACAGATGCTAGGTGACAGGTGTCCCGGCATCTGCATCTCAAAACTCTTTTTGCCCACCTCAAATTAATCTGTACTATTGTAGTGTGCTATGGAAAAAGGTAGCGGCTGAAAATAGCAGAAACTTTGTTGACCTTTCTTGCGACTAGTTTCTTTATGTCACCTTTGTTTTGATATTATGGTCGACTTGATTAGTTCATCTCCGTGCGAAAGCAAAAATGGCTGTCCCTGTTCATTATCGTCGGTCGATAAAGATTACGTTGGTCGATAATCTCTTTCATGTCTAAATTTATGCTGGCTGTAATGTCAGTCCCGTCAGATATAGTGTGCCGCTGGGGGATCTTTGGCGATAACAAATCTGCCCTTTTGTAGTATCACGGTACAGTGAAATGAGCTTAGCAGATTTTTCTTATATTAGAAAACGGAACATATTTATTATTTTTGACATAAGTGCAACACACATGCAAAGTCCAGTAGTGATACAGCAAGAGCCCGTCGTCCACGTACTTATTTATTCTAGCGGATTCGATTTTTCCAACACAACGCCTTGCATGGCGCGTTCATCAGCTTGTCGTATATAATCACTCGTACGGTCGCGCTGACGATGACAGATGTGGTCAGGGCAGCGTGTAATCTGTGAAAGTCAAACAGATTCAGGTGAACGAACTGCACAAATGTATATATATTCTTTGAAATATATGTGCATGTACACGTGGCGTACCTCCGCACTTGTAGCCGACGGGGCGATCGGTCATGTTGCAGCGCTTGGGGATGGTAATGGCGACCTCCGGCTTGATCCCGGCAGCCCTGGCGGTGCCGGACAGCATGACGGCGCACAGGCAGCTGGGGCTCTGCCCGATGGCGTGCACGGCCGAGCAGCAGCTGCTCGTCAGCGTCGACTGCGGGTCGTCGGGGCCGAGACGCATGGCGCCAGCCTCAGCGCCACCCTGTCTGCGGAGGCTCTCCCGCACTCCCCCGCGCCGTGCGCCACACCGGCAATCACAAAAAGCAGAGCAAGCGCAATGAGCGGCCTCATTGGTGATGCGTTGTGCTCTTGCGCTACTAAGCTGATCTACTCCACTAGTGTAAATCAGTCTGCTGTTGCCCTCTCCTATAAGGCTGGTGGTGCTTATATAGTGCTGGTGACACTGATGAGGGTTAGGGACTACATTTAATTCATGACCGCTCTTGGCTAAATGGAGCGACCACCTGGCACTAACTGATTGCATGCATCGTGCCACAGCACTCTAGTAGTGTTGTCTCCAGTTTGGCTAGTGAGTGTTCACTTGATTAGATGCAAAACCGGCTAGTGGGCTTCTGCATTGGACAGCACACTGCACGCGCAGTGGCCTCCTCACTTCTCAGTGTGTGGATGCGACATAAGCCATCAACCGGATCAAAATGCTTCTTAGTAAAATGGAAACTGAGCGATGGGTAGAAGGCACCCTAGCACGCTCGTATGACGGCACATAAGGATGAGGCGTGGCATGCAGATTTTTCCTCACGTCCGTTGGTTCAAAGGGTTTGGATTTATCTGTATCCACAGAATACTTAATGTCCCTTCTTGATGTTGGAATTCTAGTCAATTCTCGACATATTTTAATCTAGAAATTTATATAAATAAACATGATAAGCATGTACTGTGTGATCCAGTGTTGGTGTTTAACATGCTAAATTGCTAACAGTAAAAGCAATTGACAAAGAGGAAATCAGATTATACTCATCGGTAGCAGGTCAACTGCCGACGATGGTACCATAGGCGATATGATTACTCATGGTGACCTGCTTGAAGTAGTCGAATAAGATGAGATGCAGGAAGTAAGTTTGCGCTGCAATCCCATAACAACGCTACACCAGGAAGTAGTGGAAGTAGTCCATCGTGAACACTAGAAACATTGTGTTATCAAACTGCTATAATCCCTTAATAAATATGTCAACATACTGAAGGGACGTAGGAACATGTAGAACCCGCACAGTGCCAAGGGCCACACGCTCCCGGACAAATTGGATATCGATTTCCACGTGTTTGGTCCTTTGGTGATGAACTAGGTTTGTTGACAAATATACGACACTGATGTTGTCACAATAGACAAGAGTAGCACGTGGTAAAGGACGATGAAGCTCGCCCAAGGGGTTGGCCCAGTTGAGACTGCGGGAGGGTATTAGAATATGAATAGCCTAGAATTTGTGTAGTCTAGAATGAAGTGTCTTAATAGTGAAAGAGTCTAGAATGTCGCTCAATAGAAGGACAGTAGCTGAGGCTCTAAATAATCGGAGATGGGTGGCAGATATCAAAGGGGCACGTACTGTTCAAGTCTTGGAAGATTATTTCCATATTTGGGATTTAGTGGAGGGCTTGACCTTGCAGCAGGATGCACCTGATCAGTTTAGATGGAAATTAACTCAGTCAGGTACATACACCAGCAAATCAGCGTATACTGCTTTCTTTGGTGGGTCCATCAAATTTGCACCATCGAAAAAGATTTGGAAGAGTTGGGCTCCACTCCGGTGCAAGTTTTTCATTTGGTTGGCTATCAACAATCGATGTTGGACGGCAGACCAACTTGCTAAAAGAGGCTTGCCCCACTCGGAGGCTTGTCCTTTCTGTGATCAGGAGGAAGAAACCATACATCACATCCTTTTGGGTTGTGTCTTCACTAGGCAGATTTGGTTTTCAGTTCTCCAAGCCCTACATCTACCTGCTCTAGTGCCCTCAACGTCAGACACCAAATTCTCTAGCTGGTGGAGGAAAGGTCTTCGGCTTATTCCAAAAGATTTGCAAAAGTGGTTCAACTCTTTAGTTATTCTGGTTGCTTGGGAAACCTGGAAACACAGGAACTCTTGTATTTTCGAGCACGCTAGGCCTAGCATTCCAGATCTGCTCCGAGTGATAGCTGATGAATGCAGTTTTTGGGGGTTGGCTGCAGCTTCTAAACTCCAAGAGCTCTTTGCCCGGTCGCTGTCCTTGGTCGCTTAGATTGTGTCTAGGTTGGTCAAGGTTTTAGTTGTTGCCTCTTTTATCTTTTTTGTATGAGTTTGCTTCCTGTTGGAGGTGTGTGTGTGTGGGGTGGAGTTTTTTGTACTTGGGCCGGTTCATGCTGGCCCTCTGTTTCTTTCTTCTTAATGAAATGACACGTAGCTCTCCTGCGTTGTTCGAGAAAAAACTGCTAGTTATCAATGTGCATAGTCGAAGAGTCGAAGACATTAGTGGTCAACATAGCATTATCAAACTGTTAGTTACAAGCTACAAAAAATGGCCTATGCATATTGCATGACCGCGCCATGCAAGGTTGTGCCACGCCATGCCGCTTGTCCGTTTCCCATACGGGATTAACCTTGTTCCACCTAGCATTAACTATGGTCTTGGAATTTCCTTTGATTTAGGTACTCAATAAAAATGGTCCATGTCCAATTAAATCCAACAATCCCCACCAAATTTCAAAGCATAGAACAACGTTCTTAGTTCTATTGATGTTTGATATACCCGTTTTTTAGTGGAGGCGGTTAAGTTCAACTTCCATCTAGAAAAGAGGCTTTACTCATATTCACAACACGCGAGTATCGATCGGCCGCTCAGGTCAAGAAAGATTTGTCAAAGACGAATCAGGCTCGCCTATCAGGGGGTGCTGATTCGTTTGGCATTGTCTTGCCCCACGTGGTAGGTCAGGGGATTATTACGTGGAATTAATGTAGGGATCTTAGATCTTTCATTTATTGTGGAAGTGGAATTTTATATAAAATTTCATCTCTGCCAGAAAGTTGATAAGTTTAAATGGATTCGCATGGCTGTGTACGGTCCAGCTCAAGATGACTTCAAGTCTGCCTTGTTAGTTGAACATGTGATGGTCTGTCAAGAAAATCCACTTCCTACCCTAATTGGTGGAGATTTTAACATATACTGCACAAAAGTAGCGAAAAGAACAATGATAAGTTTAATGATCGGTGGCCCTTCCTGTTCAATGCTGTTATCGACAGTTTTGATCTTAGGGAGATAGATTTGACTGGTCGACAACTATCTTGGCAAATTCTCTACCTATTCCAACCTATGAGAAGCTGGATCGAGTTTTAATGACAACCGAATAGGAACGTAAATACCCTTTGGTGACCGTACAAACACTTGATAGGGGTGTATCAGATCACACACCTTTATTACTAGATACAGGAACACCAGCTTACACAGGGAGTGGAAAACAATTCAAATTTGAGCTATCTTGGTTTACTCATGACGATTACGATTTCTATGACCTTGTTGTAGAAATTTGGAATAAACCAGTGAAGGGTCAGAACCCAGTCCAAAAATGGAATAATAAGCTAAGTGCTTTGCATAGATATCTGTGAGGGTGGGAAGCACATAACAATGGAAATTGCAAAGCACAAAAACAAAATCTACAAACCAGTATTAATGAACTTGGTCCAGCGCCTAAGATTCATGATCTATCTGAAGCAGAGTGAGACAATCTTGCTCTTGCTCGAGATCAGTCAGCTCAACTACTTTGAGAGGAGGAAATAAAATATTTCCAAAGGGCTAAGGTGAAGGATGTTCTCCTAGTAGATAATAATACATGGTATTTCCAATTAATTGCCAATGGTAAGCATAGGTGGAAGCGCATTTTTTTGCTTGATCAAGATGAGGGAAAGATTGAAGGACAGGACAACCTGAAAGAGTATATTACCAAGTTTTATAAGGAACTATTTGGTCCACCAGAGGAATCCTCGTTTGCCCTAGATAGCTCTATGATTGGTGATATAGCACAAGTAACACCAGAAGAGAAAGGATTCCTAACTTCTAAATTTACAGAGAAGGAGATTTGAGATGTGTTGGTATTCCTTAGCATCAATGATACTAAGTAATCTGAAAGCATCTAGGCCCCTAGTTGGGTTTCGGTGATTAATGACAATACGAGATTACTGTGACTAACGTGTGTTTTGCAGAGGCAATTAAGTTAGGTCATGGTAATAGCAAATTGATTGGGCAATCATGGTTGTCATGCCCCTACAATGGAAATCGTTTTGGTTTTCAAAGGATGGACGACAAGGTTAAGGATGGACTAGTTCTAAGTGCCGTTTGGTGTTGAGGAGACACTTAGAGTAGTTTAGGACTTTGTTTTTTCTTTGGCCGTACTATTAAGGGGGGTATGGACGGGTAGCTTAACCTAGGTGAGTCTAGTGGGTTAGGTGTGGTGTACAGTTATCAAATCTAGCACTAGGTAGCTCCTAAATAGTCCTAAGATCAATTGGAGCAAACTTCATTCACATATGATTGCGAGTTGGAAGTGAATGGAGGGTCAAATGTTGACCAGACGCTGGTTCCGGTGTGACCGGACGCTGGCGCAGAGTCCGGGCAGTTCATTTGATCAAGGTGAAGTCGTCTGGTGCGACTGGACGCTGAGAGGTGAGTGACCGGATGCTGGGCGCCAGAGTCCGGTCAACTCTAGTAAGGTTCCAGAGAGCAGTTTTCGTGACCGGACGCGTCCGGTCAGTGCTGACCGGACGTTGGTTAGTGTCCGGTCACAATTTAAATGGCTCAGTGACAGGTGAACTGACCAGAGCGTATAGCCACCCCACAGTGGCACATAATGGTTCGTTTTGAACGATGGTGTATAAATACTTCCTCTATTCATGTGAGGGATCACTTTTGCTTATTTCAACAGCTGAGAAACACCTTTAAGAGTGCCAAGAAGAGCAAGGTCCTAGTGAGGTGATTGAGATTTGAGAATCCAAGAGAGAGGCCTCATTAGTGAAAGCAAGAGTAGCAAAGTGTGCTTCCACCCTTCTCATTAGGCTTGTCATGGTCAAGTGAGAGTTCATGCTTGTTACTCTTGGTGATCGCCATCACCTAGATGACTTGGTGGTGATTGGGAGCTTGGTGATCATTCGGCGGAGCTTGTGGATGACCCAACTCAAGTTGTGAGCGGTTGTGGGTGAT